GCTGTTAAGTGTAACACCCTTTACTTAATTAGTCGTAATTATAGCTGTGTTTACAAATATTAATTATTTGAAGTCCAAGGGTTGATCAATATTCAGATCCTTTTTACTGAAGGGAAAGGAGGACCTGCAAATGGATAGGGAAAATCTCCTCTTAGGATATTTTGATGAAATGAACTTTTTTCAATGTAATTTTTTATGCTGATTCCGAATATCTGTTTCTTTTTTTGCTAAGACAACGCATTCGAAAAGAAAGTTCATATTATGATTCGAAGGTTGCATTTTTTAGCTCGTTAAAAGAGGTCGCTAAGCCAGTCGATTCTATTCGTGATTTATGTTATCAAGGGTACTGAATAATATAGTGAAGGTTTGGCCACTGAAAAAATCGCCAAACAGGGTCAAAATTGCAAAAAAACAGATAAAATATCGATTTATTAGTGACCTTTTAAAAATTACGAAGATGCCGTCTAAGCCAGCTAAATTTTGACATAATCAATGTAATCGAGCATGTTGAATAATATGGTGATGGTTTGGTTCCTGGAAAAATAGCCAAACAGGGTTGAAATTGTAAAAAACTGAATTTGAACAGGGATTAATGAGCGTCTTTTTGAAAATAATGAAAAAGCCGTCTAAGCCAGCTAGTTCTTGGCAAAATAAATGTATTCGAGCGTACTCAATTACACTATTTTTGCCAAGAATTAGCTGGCTTAGACGGCTTTTTAAATATTTTCAAAAAGACGCTCATTAATCCCTGTTCAAATTCAGTTTTTTACAATTTTAACCCTGTTTGGCTATTTTTCGAGGAACCAAACCATCACCATATTATTCAACATGCTCAATTACATTGATTATGTCAATATTTAGCTGGCTTAGACGGCATCTTCATTATGTTTAAAAGGTCACTAATACTATGTGATATTTAGATATTTTGGCCGATATCTCAAAAACTATGCATGATATAAAAAAATAGATTTGATTTATGGAATTGGCATTGAATTTTATGTCTGAAAAGTACCATTTCAAAAAAAATCGAGAACAGGCGATTTTGCAGGTCCTCCTTAGCTTTACAAATCAACTTCACTTTGAATGTAACACAAAAGGAGAATCTAGCAAATTAGATTAAGAATAAACTGCGAAATTCCTCACCTTGGTTTGAATGGTACCATAGACTTTGAAATTCAATCATCGCACCATAACACTGGATATTGAAGGGGTTTCAATCTTTAAGCGGAAGAAATCGTACTTGTATGCATCACAACATGAGAAAAATAGAGAAATTCTGCAAGCAACGAGTCCTCATTTTTCGTACTTTTAGAACTTTCTTTACACCCTGTAATGAAGTTATCTTTTAATATTGTCCGTAATTGTCAATGTATAGTGAACTTTAACCAGCAAAGAGTAAAAAAATATTTCCACACTTTTGATCAACTAACGCGCTAATTCAGTCGCCAAAGAGCAACTCAATATTTCAACTATCTGATCCATGGATATTAACATTTTTTGATGTTTGTTCTACACGTTTGTCAAGTTTAATTATTCAACTAAATTCAGGATAAGTTGACTGATAGTAGCGGTTACAACAATTTGAAACAATACATAGAGATACAAATACGATAAAATAGTATTTAAAACTCATTAATTATGACTTGAAACACATTAAGATTTAGCTGCGCTCAAACCAATGAGTACAATTATTAGGTTTCGCTTAAAATCTTTCATGATAGCTTTCAATTGTTCTGCACATTATGGATTCTATTTTTAATACGCTTTATAATTTCGCGAAATTATTCTCAAATGAATGTGCGATTGAACAAAAATACAAAGGAAATTCTCATTCATTGTAAAACTTCTTCATGGATTCCTTGTGGTCTATTCAGTTTAGATGAAACCATCTCTGATTATTATATCATTTGTGATGAACACTTTTCAGATGTTGTGTTTGATGCTGGGCAGAAAGAAGTACATATTGATTGGACTCATCTCAAGTTTCGTTGGTTTTCGTTGGTCGTTGGTTTCGTTAGACATGATTGGATCAGTTTCAGCCTGTTATGGTCAGATTTATTCAGTGATCATTTCACATGTGCAAATTACTGAGTGAATCAAAATTTCAGTGGCTGAAACTCATGGAATCCAATAAATGCAATCAAGGTCGATGTAGGTAATAATGTCAAGCTCTAGAGACATTTGTCAACTAAGCTTTGCTTTTAATCGACACTGAAGTAGTCTGTGTTATGAATATTTGTTTAGACCAATAAATTGAAACGAGATGAACTAATTTTCAAAACAAGTAAGGTGGTAAGCGGAAAGGAATGGGTGAATTTCGAATTGGGAAAGGACAATCTCTAACAACTTTCTACGATAAACAACAATTTCCATCATGAATAACAGAAATATACACTTCTTTCCAATTCTAACAAATCACTTAACTTTTTTGATTTGTTTACTAACAGTAAATCACACTGAATTGTATTTAATATGTTTGAGTAGTGAATATTCAAAATTTTGAAATGAGATCATCTTATTACTGCATTGTTCAAATATCCAACTAAAGAAATGTCAAGCGATTTAAAAATAAGAAAAGTAACTCAATTTTCGGCTAAAGGCCAATATATTCGACATATTGTTAATATCCCAATTGATCCAAATAAAGACGCTGTAAACACGAGCGTAAAACTTAATTACTAAATTTGGCGCCAGTTATGCGTTTGATGAAATTTATACGTGTCACATGCACTTTCAATTTCTAGTAACAAAAAGATTTTTCCAACTTGATCTCGATCCTCTCACCCTCTTAATTGTCACCCAAACTTGTCCAACTCTTTACCACTGAACTATAATTTGATTTTAAAAACTTAAACAAAATTTATTAATCGTATTGTATAAAGAGACATTGATACTTTTGCTTCACTGAAAATTATTGCGTTAAACGCAAAAAACGCAAAGAGGCAAACAAATCTGCGTGTTATTATAACTTTATGTTCTGGCCGTACGCTCTCTCTAGTTTGCTTTCAACATGAGACTTGGATCAATTGGGTAGATTCACTTCATTAATCTACATTTGTATTTTCAATAGAGAAAAATTAATTAATAAATTAACTTAATAAAAAATTGAAGGTAATGGAATTTGCCAATGAATTGTCGATTCCTTCCCATTTCCACAATTTCCAGCTCAAATTGGAGTGGAAAGGGGCATAGGGAAGGTTGAACAACCGTCCGGCAGTCACAAAGGACCTGGCTCGTTAGAGGCAACCCTGTTCACGAAACCTTAGCACGAACCTTTTTGACTACTCACTACCTTCAAAAGAAATAGAATTAACTTGACTTATAATTATGATATAATAAGGTACTAATATTATATCAGTATTTTTCGTTTTATTCATTATTACAGATAATTCAGTTGAACAAGATCATTCAAATTATCTTATTCAATAAATGCCAAAATTTAAATTCTTTTTTTCTGTTCATTTACTTAATTAGTCATAATTAATAGCTGTATTTACAGCAAGTAATTATTCAAAGTTCGAGGTTTTGATCAATATTCAGACCCATTCAACTGGAGAGCAAATTAGCTTTACAAATCAAGTCAATGTTTGCATGTGGCACAAAAAGAGAATAAAACGAATTAGATCAATAAAAATTAATAAATAAATTGTGAGATTCATCTCCATGGTGTGAACGGTTCAGTAGATATTGAAATTCAATCATCGCATCCGCACATGGATATTGAAGGAGTTTCAATCTTTCTGCAGAGGGAAATCAAATATTTAAACATCAGAAAAATAGTTAATTGTTAAAAGTCAACGCGTTTTCATCTCCAGATATTCTGCAATTTATTCGAAATTTATTTATATTATGAGAAAAAATCATATGGAACACATTTTTATTTGGTTAAACAGCGTTATCAAAAAGTTATCAATGCTTTATTTTGAAATAGCGTACAGTACGATATGAAACGTACAGTGATTTATGGATGGTGTTAACATACAACATTTGATGAGGAATTCAATTTTGCGAAATCAATTTTGGTATGCATTGAAATATAAAACAGATTCATCATTTGATAAGTTTTTAATAGCATAGCTGGTTAGCTCAGGAATAGTGACTGATTCAAATTCGTTTAAGACCATGTAAGGGTCATCAGCAATTTTAAAAGCTACCGATCCTTTCAGTAATGTATATATAGTTTTATAATTAGCTGTTTTCTGTAATGGTTTTTCACAAACACCATTCATTCTGAAAAAACCACTAGCGAGTCCATTAGTTTTGTCTCGGAAAAGTGACGCAAGTTCGATCGAATCACTGTCTCTACTTTTCTTCCATTGAAGATTTTCAAATGTTTTGATCAGATCTGCATTTTTAGATCGAGTTGAAACACTTTTTCCAATAACTCGCTTTTTTGAATACAACTTTTTGATAAACTGAACTGGAATATCAGTTGAAGTCAAAGCTATCAATTTATATTCAGAAAAAATCTGACTCATCAATGTCCACTCTTTATTGCGAGTATCGAACATCATTACTTTCTTTTGAGATTTTATCAAGAGTATCACATTTGATTTGTGCGAGTCAAGCTGCAAATCTTCAAAAGATAAATTCATTCCATCAAAAGGTTTACTCTTCTCGATAGTTTTCTTGACCATATCGAAGATACGGAAAGTCAATGATTTAGTGATGATGTAACATACATCGTTTAAGATGATAGCATGAACTCGATGTTCATCAAATGGGTCTTTGTACCAATCAAAATAATCGACAGGCAAGAAACAATACAATTTTTGATCCTCTTGTGTATAACAAATGGTATTCATTTCTCCGTTGTACTCAATCAAAGTGTTCTTTTCGAGATCATCCCAAGAATCAATTTTCTTAACTTCATCTTGAATGCAGGCTCTGTAGGAACTGCAAAGGGAAAGAATATAATATTACATTAATTAAAAATAAGTTCATAATAATGATTGAAATTAATAAAACTCACTTCTTCATATCAAATTTTGGCTTGAAAAAATCGTAAAGTTGATTATAATAAGCACTTGAAGATCCAGACATCTCTAACCAACGATATTTTTTTCCAACAAGATCAAATCTTATCCCAGATCGGCCAGAATCAAAGATAACGTCGACAACATGTTCCTCGTTTATGACACCAATAGGAATTTTATCATCTTCTACGAATGAGCCACAAGGTTCCCAACAATTTTTCCCGGTGAAATAACTCATACTCATGATATTGTCTTCCACATAAAAAAGAGAAATTAAATGTTTCTCTTTGATTCGGCTATAAAAACATTGATTTCGGCATTCGACGGTACTACATGCTAATTCATCAAGTTGTGGTAGATTTTTGATGATAAATTCATCTTCTTTTATATGCACATAACAGTCTTCTAATGTGTGACACCATCTGATACATTTCATCAGCTCCTGAAGATGCACACCACGCGATTTATCATGTTCAACCCATTTCATGATGGCTCAAACACTTGATACTCAGTTTCGATAGATAAATCCAACGATAGAATGTATTTGACAACTTCCAACGGAAATTTCAAGAAATATTCACCGTTTATGAGTCTCAAAAAATTTCTACTCAAAAAAGAATTGATTTTGTTGAAGTTCAGTAATGAGTTATCATCTCTTACATGCTTAATCAAAGCAGGAATTTGTTAGCTGTAAAATTTTCATCAAAAAACGATTGACACAAACTTTTTATAGATGCAATCTGCAGATGATCAGCAACTTTATTCATTGGTAAAATGTCGTCCATGTTAATGACAATGCAATCAGAATGTACCCAATTAATTACTGATTCGAAACAAGACTCGTTTAGATCAAACTGAATTTTATTTTCAATTTGAGAGGAACACAATTCATTGAATAATGGAATTTTTGCACAAATCAAAGATTTAGAAACTGTATAACTTGATGAGCGATTAATTAACTCGATTTCATCTTCACTTTTGATCTGCATCATAACTCAATTTGAAAAGGTAGAAATCAAGATTGATAAAAACAACTCACTTATTAAAGTTAACGTGATTCGAAAAGAAACAGTTGGAACAAAAGTTACAGTTAAAAATGATGAATTTGAAAAGCCAACCGTTTCACAGACAGGAGTCTAGAAATGCAAAGGCACCCGACATTACGCATGCTCAATTACTTTAACTTTTTGCGATCGTTTCAAAATCATTCTGTACGGTTATGAATGATTTTAAATTACAATGAGTTAATGAGTTAATTTCAGATTTAAAATCAATTAGCTAATTTTCTTTATTTGATAATTTAATTTTCTTCACAAAAATATATTTTATTATTAATTTTGAGCAAATTGAGGAGATCCCCCACAATTCCCCCACTCGTCCACAAATTTCATCTTAATACCTGGCTTAACAATCATTAAAAGTATTTTCACAATGCGATTTAATATTAAAAAACATGAGAAAAGTTAATGAAGGGAACCAATTTAATCTTTAATTACCAAAAAATAATCAAAAAGCTTTATTGAACTAGAAATGAGACAATCTAATGTGATTCAATGTTTTTTAGCTGATTCAATGAATTCTCATTCCTGTTAAGAATATATGATATTTATCAATCGAAAATTTTGTCCTTTAAAGATCAATAATGCAAAATTTTATTTTGAAAATCAACAAAATTAAATAGAATATCTTGCAATTGATTAAAATTATCAACTTTTTAAATGTTAGCAAAAAGTTAAAGTACTTGAGCATGCTCAATATGATGGGTGCCTTTGGATTTCTTGAATCCGTTGCCTTGGTTATCAAAGATGCTAAATCCTCTTCTTTGATTGGTTAGGTGCCTTTGCATTTCTAGACTCCTGTGTTTCACAGACGATCACAAGTTAACGCATGCGCATCAATCAATCATCAAGCTTCAATCGTTTGTTGAGTACCTTTTGGATCAAGATAACAATGTTTGAATTTCAAACTTTGAAATATCTCAATATTAGTTGAACCTTTTACTGTTTCCAATTTCATTTCTTTAGTTGACTTTCAAATGTTTTGAACTGTTAATTAGATAAGATTTTTTTGCCTTTACATGAAATGTGAGAATCCAACAAAATGAGCTTTCTTTACACCCTGTAATGAAGTTATCTTTTAATATTGTCCGTAATTTTCAATGCAAAGTCAACTTTAACCAGCAAAGAGTAAAAAAATATTTCCACACTTTTGATCAACTGGCACGCTAATTCAGTCGCCAAAGACTAACTCAATATTTCATCTATCTGATCCATGGATATTAACATGTTTCGATACTTGTTCTTCACGTTCGTCAAGTTTAATTATTCAACTCGATTCAGGATTAGTTGACTGATAGTAGCAGTTGCAACAATTTGAAACAATACATAGAGATACAAATATTTAAAACTCAATAATTATGACTTGGAACACATTAAGATTTAGGTTCACTCAAACTAATGAGTAAAATTCTTAGGTTTTGCTTAAAATCCTTCATGATAACTTTCAATTGTTCTGCACATTATGGATTCTATTTTTAATAGGCTTTTAATTTCGCAAAAGTATTCTCAAATGAATGTGCGATTGAACAAAAATACAATTGAGATTCTCATTCATTGTAAAACCTCTTCATGGATTCCTTGTGGTCTATTCAGTCTAAATTAGACCATCTCTGATTATATCATTTGTGATGAGCACTTTTCAGATGTGATGCTTGATGCTGGTCGGAAAGGAGTACGAAATGATTGGACTCATCGCGAGTTTCGCTGGTTAAACATGATTTGATCAGCTTCAGCCTAAAATTGACAGATTTATTCAGTGATCATTTCATATGTGCAAATTACTGAGTGAATCAAAAATTCAGTGGCTGAAACTCCTAGAATCCAATAAATGCAAGTAAGGTCGATGTAGGTAATAATGTCAAGCTCTAGAGACATTTTTCAACTAAGCTTTGCTTTTAATCGACACTGAGGTACTGTAGATTATTTGATGAATATTTGTTTAAACCAATAAATTGAAATAATCTGATGAAATGATGCGAGACGAAATAATTGTCCAAACAAGTAAGGTTGACTGGTGATAAGCGAAAAGGAATGAGTGAATTTCGAATTGGGAAAGGACAATCTCGGACAACTTTCTACGGTAAACAAAAATTTCCATCATGAATAACAGAAATGTACACTTTTTCCAATTCTAACCAACCCACTTCACTTGTTTGATTTGTTTACTAACAGTAAATCACATTGTATTGTATTTTATATGTTTGTGTAGTGAATATTCAAATTTTGAAATGAGCTCATCTTATTACTGCATTGTTATTAAATGGACTACAACTTTCCAACTAAAGAAATGTCAAGCGATTTAAAAATAAGAAAAGTAACTCAATTATCGGCTAAAGGCCAATTTATTCGACATATTGTTAAAAGATTCACTTCATTAATCTACATTCGTATTTCCAATGCAGAAAAATGTAATAAATTAACTCGATAAATTTCAATAAAAAATTGAAGGTAATGGAATTTGTCAATGAGGTGTCGATTCCTCCCCATTTCCACAACCAGTGAGCTCAAATTGGTGTGGAAAGGGCGTAGGGAAGGTTGAACAACCGTCCAGCAGTAAGGTTTATGACCTTCAAGCTCGTTAGAGATTACACTGTTCACGAACCCCACCAGACCTTTTTTGACTACCGTATCGGCGCACATAATGTCACGGTGCCTCGGATCGAGCTCGCTCGTAATAAGTGAGAATTTTAGTCACTGAGCATGCGTTAACTCAGAAAAGGAAAAATTTTTAAAAATCGAAATTGATCGGTTAAGAGAGAAATTTTGACTATTATTTTGAATTTTTCAATTCACTAATAGAAATACATTCAAAAGATCATTTTTTTTCTCTGCTAATCGGTCGAGAAAAAGCTCAAAGGGATCATTAACAATAGCCCATGAGCGTCTAAATGGGCAGCAAAGGTGCTGTTATTTGAGCGAGCCCATTTTGAAGCACCGTGACATTATGTGCGCCGATACGGTACTCACTACCTTCAAGAAAATTAGACTTCAAGTTGACTAATAATAAAGATATAATAAGGCAATAATCTTATATCAGTTTTTTTGTGCTTTATTCATTATTACAGATAATTCAGCATGAAAAGATCATTCTAATTATCTTATTCAATAAATGCAAAAATTTAAATTCTTTTTTTCTGTTCATTTACTTAATCAGTCATAATTAATAGCTGTGTTTACAGAGATTAATTATTTAGAGTCCAAGGGTTTGGTCAATATTCAGATCCATTCAATAATAGCTTTACAGACCAAGTCAACTTTGCATGTGACACATAAAGAGAATACAGCGAATTAGACCAATAAAATTGATAAAAAATTGTGAAATTCATCTCCATGGTGTGAATGGTTCAGAAGATTTGAAATTCAATCATCGCACCTGCACATGGATAATGAAAGGGTTTCAATCTTTAAGCGGAAGAAATCAAATTGTAAAAATCAGAAAAATTGGAATTGTTATTATACAAGTCAACGCGACATTTCATTCTCAGATATTCTACAATTTAGTTGGAATTTATTCACATTATGAGAAAAAATCATATTGAACACATTTTGGCTGTGGTTAAACAGGATTATCTCAGTTTTCAATACTTTATTTTGGAATAGCATACAGTACGGAATAAAATATGATTCATGAATGGTGAAATTAACATACAACATTTGATGATAAACTCAATTTTACTTTACTCGCTTTTTTGAATACAACTTTTTAATAAACTGAACGGGAATATCAGTTGAAACCAAAGCCATAATTTCATATCTAGAAAAAATCTGACCCATTGATGTCCACTCTTTCTTGCGAGTATCGAACATCATTACTTTCTTTTGAGATTTTATCAAGAGTATCACATTTGCTTCATGCGAGTCAAGCTGCAAATCTTCAAAAGTATAATTCATGCCGTCAAAAGGTTTACTCTTCTCGATAGTTTTCTTGACCATATCGAAGATACGGAAAGTCAATGATTTAGTGATGATATAACAAGCATCATTTAAGATAACTGCATGAACGCGATGATCGGCGAACTTGTGTTTATACCAATCAACATGTTCGACAGGCAAGAAACAATATAATTTTTCATCCTTTCGTGGGTAACAAATGATGTTCATCACTCCTTTGTTTTCAATCAAAGTGTTCTTTTCCAGATCAACCCAGTGATCAATTTTCTTGACGCCATCTTGGATGTAGGCTCTGTAGGAACTGGAAAGAGAAAGAACATAATATTACAATAATTTGTAAATATATTCATAATAATGACGGAAATAAAAAAAAACTCACCTTTCTCTATCAAATTTTGGCTTAAAACAATCGTAAAGTTGATTATAATAAGCACTTGAAGATCCAGACATTTCTAGCCAACGATATTTTTTTCCAACAAGATCAATTCTTATCCCGGTTCGGCCAGAATTAAATATAACATCAACAACATGTTCCTCGCTGATGACTCCAATAGGCATCTGATTATCTCTCTCGAATGTGCCGCAAGGTTCCCAACAATTGTCACCGGTGTAATAACTCATACTCATGATATTGTCATCCACATAAAGAAGAGAAATTAAATTTTTCTCTTTGACTCGTTTATTAAAACATGAATTTCGACATTCACCGGGTTCACATGCTAATTCATCAAGTTGTGGAAGGTTTTTGACGATGAATTCATCTTCTTTAATATGCACATAACAGTCTTTAAATGTGTGACACCATCTGATACATTTCATCAGCTCCTGAAGATGAACACCACGCAATTTATCATGTTTAATCCATTTAAGGATGGCTTGAAAAACACTGTATTCAGTTTCAACACATGTATCCAAAGATAGAATGTATTTGACAACTTCCAACGGAAATTCTAAAAAATATTCACCGTTTATGAGTCTCAAAAAATTTCTACTCAAAAAGGAATTGATTTTGTTGAAGTTCAGTAATGAGTTATCATCTCTTACCAGCTTAATCAAAGCAGGAATTTCTTTAGCTGAAAAATTTTCATCAAAAAACAATTGACACAAACTTTTTATAGATGCAATTTGCAGATCGTCAGCAGCTTCATACAACTGTAACACGTTGTTCATATTAATGACAATGCAATCTGAATGCACCCAATTAATTACTGATTCCAAACTGGACTCGTTCAGATTAACCTGGAATTTCTCTCCTCCTTGAGAAGAACACAATTCATTAAAAAATGGAATTTTTGCACAAATCAAAGATTTTGACACAGTATAACTTGATGAGCGATTAATTAACTCGATTTGATCAGCACTTTCGATCTGAGTCATAATACCAAATTAAAAGATTGATAAAACGATTTACTTATCCAGTTTAACTTTACTCGATCAGAAACAGTTGAGACAAAGTCAAAGTTAAAAATGGTGAATTTGAAAAGCAAACAGTTTTACAGACGATCACAAGTAAAGACATGCGTGCTCTTTGCTTAATTTTTTGTTTTTGTTTATCTTTTTGATCAATCACCGCTAATTGTTAAATCTTCAAATTTTAACCGTTAATTGTGCAAACGGTTTTTGGTTGAATATCTTTTGGATCAATATAACAATGTTTGAAATATCAACAATAAAAATCAGTTGAACCTTTTACTGTTTCCAATTTCATTTCTTTAGTTGACTTTCAAGTGTTTTAGACTGTTAATTGGGTAAGATTTCATGCCATTATATGAAATGCGAGTGTCCAACACAATAATGATTTTTCTCAAGCTATAAATGACCATTAAATATATTTCTTTTTCACCATTACATTCAAATTAAATTAAGCTGTCAACAGAATCAACAATTTCATTTTCAACTAAAAACTGATTTACCAAATGACGATTGACTCAATTAACTTTTCTATGAGACATAAATGAAGAAAGTGTCTCAGAGAGGAATGCCTCTCTGATTCATTATTAACTCTTTTTATTTTGTTTGTTGACTCTAGCCTTTGCTCTCTGTCCTGTCCTTCCCCCTAAAAACTTCCTCAACACCCTGTAATGATGTGATCTAAAAGTATTGTAAATATTGCATAATCAACAAAGTGTAAATAAATAAACTTTCAATGAATTGATCAGTTGTTATTTCAGCTACCAAAGATCAACTCAATATTTCATCTATCTGATCAACTTGGCCATTAACATCTTGTTATTATCATTGAACAAGTACCCAATTAAGCTAAATAAAGACGCTGTCAACACGAGCGTGTTCGTAACTTATGTTCTGGCCTTGCGCTCTCTCTAGTTTGCTTTCGGCACAAGACTTGGATCAATTGGGTAGTCTCTCTATATCTGATTGACCATTGTCACTCTGTTGTATCTTTATTCGTCTAATAATTCATCGATTCAATTTAGTAGCCAGAGAGCAATTGATTGCATTCATCACACTTTTCGCTGGTTAGACATGATTGGATCATCTTCAGACTGTCATTGTTAGATATATCCAGTGATCATGGCATAGTGCCATTTGTCAACCAAGCTTTGGTTTTATTCTAGACTGAAGTAATCTGTTGGATGAATATTTGTTTGGATCAGTAAATTGAAATAATATGATGATATGACATGAGATAAAATACTGATTTAATTGTCTCAACAAGTAGAAGGAAAGATATTCCAGGATTTTTTGATGTTGATTATCCTAAGATTAATAAACTTTAACTCTTTGTTTTAGGAAAAGGCATATTTGCTTTGGATCTTTTGCACATCAATTATAGTCGAGTAACTTTTTCGCAAATTATCTACAGTATTTACGTTTCTCGCCAATTTGAAAATTTGTTGTTCAAGAATGACTAACGTTGACTCAATGAGAGGTATAGTGTCCGTTCACCACACTAATTATTTGAGCAAACAAAAACTTGAAAATGTTTTACAGCTTTAAACAAAAATTAGCTTCAACTTAGCTTAAAATCAGCTGTAACTTAATTTATATTCATCGATTAATCAATTAAAACAATTGGAAATGTCATACTCAGCTCGATCAAAGTAAGCCCAATAAGGTTATCTATCAAAAAAGCAGAACCATGTTCGTCTTAACGACAAAGATAAATTTAAAAATATACTCGACTTGATGAACAATATAGATTTTATTAAGATGTATAACGTTATTTCATTAACTGAATACTCAGACCTTTGTACTGATATGATGGGGTTTGATTAACAAAAAAAATTAAACTTTACACCTCAAAATTGACTCTAACTTAAAATTTAAAGAAAATTAAGTCTATTTTCCTCTTAAAATTGTAAAACATTCTCAAGCTTATGTTTACTCAAAGGATTAGTGTGGTGAACGGACAGGGAACCCAATGAGATGCCTGACTTTTAGGATTCTTGACTTAAGGCCAATATATTCAACATATTAATACGTATAATAACTTCACTTTTTTAATTTAAAGTTGTATTATCAATACATCAAAATGTAAGAGATTAATTTAATAAATTTTGGTGAAAAATTGAGAGGTAATGAAATTGGTCAATGAGGCGTCGATTCCTTCGCCTTTTTCACAAAGCGCCGCTGCAACGGGCAGGTTAAACAACCGTCCAACAGTCGTTGGCTAAGACCTTAACGTAAGTGGGCAGAGAAATCTCCGCCGCTTCAAACAGCCCTAGACCCTGTCAGACCTTTTTGACTCCACACTACCTCACCTAATGAGTTAAGTTTCAACTTGAGTAATAATAATGATATAGCTTAGGTACTGACATTATATCAGTTTTTTTCATTTTATTCATTATTATGGATCGCTCGATTCAACAAGATCATTCTAATAATATTATTCAATGAATGTCAAAATTTAAATTCTTATTTTCTGTTTTTTACTTAATCTGATCATAATTAATAGTCATAATTATTCAAAGTCTGGAGATTTAATAAATGTTCAGATATTTTCAACTGAATAACAAATTAGTCAAAACTCGAGTTTTTTGTTTTTTTGGAGTGCTGACATCTATGTGAAATAATTAAATTTTAAACAATTAATACAGTCTAATGAATCCCCTTTACTAAAGGGCCTTTAGGCTCTCTACCCTTCGCTCTTCTGGGGGGAGTCATTAGAGTGGACTAATTGTTTAAACCACAAAATTTAATTTTCCCAAAATTTTAAGGGACAGTTGAGATAAAATCACAGTTTAAAATATTGAGTTTGAAAAATCCACAGTTTTACAGACGATAAAAATAGCTTTTTTGCGCGGTTTTTGGTTGAATATCTTTTGGTTCAAGATAACAATGTTTGAAATGTCACCAATATTAATTGAACCTTTTACTGTTTCCAGTTACATTTCTTTAGTTGACTTTCAAACGTTTTGAACTGTTTTTTAGATAAGATTTCATTTTCATTTTTTTCATTCCATTACATGAAATGCGAGTGTCAAACACAATGATAATGATTTTTCTTTAGTCTCGAGTTACAAATGTGTTTCCCATTAAATATGTTTCCTTTTCACCCTTAGATTCAAATTAAATTAAGTGTTACACAGACTCAACAATTCCATTTTCAACCTAACACTGATTTACCAAATGATGATTGACTCAATTGACTTTGCTATGAGATTTATTACATGGCTTGGAGACAGTTTCTCAGATTCGTGATTAACCCTTTTTGTTTTGTTCATTAATTCGAGCCTTAGCTCTCTGTTCATAATTCGCCCCACTAAAAATTTTACAAGTCGTTCTGTGCAGCCTTACAATTGATACACTACATTGAAATACAAATATTGTAAACCAAGAAGTTATGACTTGAACACATGGCGCATTAAGATTTAGCTACGCTCAAACCAATTAATACAACTCACAAATTCCGCGCAAAACGTTCCATTCAAAATAGTTTTCAATTATTCTGCACATTATGGACTCTATTTGTAATACGCTTTTAATTTCGCAAAAGTATTCTCAAATGAATGTGCGATTGAACAAAAATACAATCGAGATTCTTGGCTGATTTCGCTTGAGGAGTACGAGTTGACTGCACTCATCGCATAGTGGGCAGATATATTAACAGATCCTGTCACATGTGTAAGTTTCTAAGTCAGATAATTCAGTGGCTGAAACTCCTAGAAAATCCAATAAATGGAGCCAAGGTCGATTTCAATATCAATGTCAAGCTCTAGCGACATTTATCAACTAAGCTTTGGTTTTATTCGACTCTGAAGTAATCTGAATGATGACCTGGACTGAAGTGTTGGATGAATATTTGTTTGGATCAACAAATTGAAATAATATGATGTTAAGGAACGAGATGAAAAAATTGACCATACAAGTAAGGTTGACTGGTGATAAATAAGATTTGTATAAATGATTGAATAATAAATGTACACATTTCAACAAATATTGATATAGCGTTTAGATGTCACCTGTACAGCGAGGTATTTATGAGAATAATGAGAATAAAAATTAAGAAAATAGATAAGAAGTGTATAACTGGTAAATAGATTTGATAAAAATCACATTTCAACATGGAAGGATATTCCGGGATTTTTTTGGTGCTGATTATCCAAGGATGAATAGGCTTTAACTCTTTGTTTTAGGAAAAGGTATATTTGCTTTGGATCTTTTGCTCATCATTTTTGATTTGATTATCTTTTAGTTAACTTGATCCAACTCGGTGCATATAACTCGAGCAACAATTTAATCAGTTCTCTGTTCCCTGGTAATTTTATAAATAATTATTGTACTTCTTGACCGATGTCCTTGAGAAGCGTCACATTCAGGTTCATCATCTTCATAATCTACATGTAAACATTCACAAATGAGATTCCACCTTTTGAGAGCACATTCAATATTCCAACTGGAATTGCGAACATGGTAAGTTGTATAAAATACGGTTTCTGGGTTGCGAGTCATAAAATAGGCTAAAGTCATCAGAATGTCTTCAAAGTCTTCTGGGTCATAAAAACAATCGGAGGCTATGATAACATCAACAGTTGGGATCATGAAGAAGACGCCAGTGAACCGTCCCCATGTTAGAGGGCAAATGTGGAGAGACTTGGGATCAGGATCCTCAATGGTATCATCGAGAGCAATAATTATACCATTTAAACGAACATTTAAATCAAGTAGATCTGATTTTGCACGTACAGAGTGAGAATCGGTTAAAATCACTTTGGCTCCTATAAGAGCGGCGACAATACCACATAGGCCAGTTCCACTTCCCAGCTATAAAGAATGAAAATAGATCAGTTGAATGAAAAATTTTATAATAATGCAATTACTTGCTCAACACACGTCAAAACCAAGGTAAATCAGGCACCATGCTGAGCTCATTGGCTGAGTAGAAGCGTGATTCACACATGGTTAAAAGCAAAAGAAAGCATGTTTACCTCTAATACTCTTTTTCCAGTGAACAGGGGTTTGTTGTTAACAATAAACTGAGACAATACTGGTGCTGCAGGCCAAGTAATCATTGCATAGTCAGCATCACATTTCTGTTGAAATAAAAAGAAAAATTAGAAACTCTGAATACAGATGGAACGATTTATGTTTGGAAGTGTTTGTTTATGTTTTTGTTTCCCTTTCCTCACTCACTTCTTCAACCAACCTCTTTAATTTTGACCTCCAATACTGTTGATTCCCCTCTGACAGCAAAAGTAAACCTTCTGTCTGTAATTAACGTATTATCAGACACATTGGAATGGCGATGAATTAATGGCAACACATGATTATTGGATGACATGATGGATAAATCAACTAAATTCAATAGCACCAAGAAAAACAAGAGTAAAAATCAAAATCAAACAAGAAAACAAGAGTCGACCAACAAAGGGTCAATAAGGGTTACCTGGGTGATATTAAATCGGACGATGTACAATTAAATGATGTTAAATCCATAGAAACCTTTTTTAAATCTCAGGATCTTTTCAAATCGTTAGTGTTGAACTGTTTAAAAGTGAATAAATACCGCTTGTACTCAAAGAGTAAGCAAAAGAAAGAGAAAGCATTTAACAGAAACTGACGTTAACAGCTTTGGACAACTGAATTGAGGGTCGCCACTGCACTTTTCAAAAAAAATGTCAAATCAATCTTTAAAACTTCAAATTTTATTTTTTGATTTCATCTTAACTTGAGGTTAGCTTCAATAAAACCGTAAAAATATCTTTAAGCCAGTTTTTTCTTACCTTAATTAAGGGTTCAGATCAAGAAAACTAACTTGAATCATTTATTATTACATTTTTGCGTGGATTGTGCTTCTTATAGTCTCGAGTTGGGCCAACTATATAAGTAAACATAATCAAACACAACAAAAGCATCATCTTTTGTAGAATCGATAGAAATTCATTTGAATTCTTTTGAATTCTATCTAAACCCATTTAGGTATATCTCTAGTGTTTAAACTGTCACAGAATTAATTTAAAATATTGAATGGATCGAATATATTTTGTAAAATTTGATCAAGTTTCTTACATTCAATTTCTTCAATTTATCAATCGTTTAGCCTTTGACTTTGTAAATATTTTTACATTTTTCAAGTGATTCTGAATCATTTTAAAGAACAAAGTTGTTTTGAATTTGTTTTGGAGAAAACATTGAGTCAACATGGGCCAGAAAAAGTCTGTCCAAACTTTACAAACTTAAGGAACCCGTTTGTGAATTTAGTTTGTTAGATCAACATAGTGAATCATGCAAAGATTATCTTATCTGAGCAAAAGATCAAGTTACCTGATTAAATTCTGGGAAGGGAATCAACGAAACCTCTGTTGTGATAACTCATGGCATTATGGTAACTGTTTACAGTGAAATGTGACTGAATTTTGTGACGTTCACCTGTTTATTGAGAAGTGAAGGTAAAGAATCAAAAGCTGCAACTTTTTATTAAAAGATTTTACTCGCAATACTCAAAAATTAGCCGATCCATCTGTTTTGAATTGAAAGCTGCTAAGTGTAATAAAATACATTTACATCATGTAAAGGCGTCCTTTATGTCACATTTGAATTTAATATTAAGGATCCCATTTATTTTTCCAATTCATTTATAATAGATGTTCAATATTTAACTGTACACACCACTACCCTCTTAAGGAAACTTTTTTCACTCTCTCTTGAGGAAATTTTCATAGTCGCCATCTAGTTACTTAATTACATAACGTTAGACGACTCATGTTATCGATATCCTCTGACACAATAAGTTAGATCTATGCGATAGATGGCGACTTAGAAGATTGTGTTTCCTTAAGAGAGTAGTGGTGTGTATGTCTATGCTAAAGCTAAAACAAAGGCAGGATCTTTGACCAAGCTTCTCAAGGAAGATTAAAATTCAGACTAATGGAAGATCTTACTTGAACCGAATCTGAATCAACCTTAAAAGATAAATAATGAACTTGGTAAATTCTAGATTTACTTTGCATTTTAAATACAAATGATTAGTTTCAGTCATTTTTACTGAATTGTATCTGTTAAAGCTGTGAGGAAAAATATTTGTTGAGATTCGTGAATTACATAAACTTTAATTTAGAGATGCTGTTATTTTCGTATCCTTTGCTTTGGTGATGGTTCAATTCTTGAGATGAACTCTGGCCTTTTCAATAATATCTTTCCTTATTCTGGGATAATCTGGATAAACTTCAAGTATAGACTGCGCCACGTCAATAGCATCAGCATACCTTTTAACTTTCATATAATCATGAGCTAATTTAAAGCCAACTGAAGCATAATTGGCTCCGAAAATTTTCCAAGCCATTTCATAATTGTAAATTGCTTCTTTAAAGCTTTGACTTTTATCCATAATGAAACCATAGTATTCATAGGCTTTAACACATGATCGATTATATTGTAAGACACGTTTCAATAATTCTTGAGCTGGTTCAAATTTTCCTGATTGAATATAAATATCAGCTAACAAAAGCCAACATCTTTCCAGATATTCTGCTTCCTAGAAAATAAAAGAAAACATTGAAGAATTAATATGCCGATTCGAACAGTAATCAGTATTAACTAACCGAATAGGACCAATCAATTTTGGTAACCTTTTTAAGATGAGTTCGAGCTTTTTGAGTTTGCTTCATTATTATATAGCTGCTAGCCACACCAAGCAATGCTCCTGGATGATCTTTCTGTAAACAATGTTAACATTTAATTGTCAAAACCTTTAAAAATGATTAAACATAGAAATAAAACTAACATATCTTGGATCATTAAGAATCCGAGCAAATTCTGATAAGGCAATTTCTGCGTCCGTCTTTTGTTTACGAGCAAGTAACACGAAATTACACATCAATAAGTAATCAACATCATCTGAGGCAACATCACGAATCTCCTGTTTAATGAAGAAATTGGAAATAAGTTAATAGCTTTTCAGTTGGTTACTGAGTTACTCACTCCTAATAGCTTTGAGGCCGTTTTAATGGCAGCGTCTTGAGCATTCATTGTTTCTAAACTTGTTAAACTTGAGTTGACGGATTCAAATGTTTCACCACCAATTGTGCCTCGCTCTGGATTGATAAATATCTCAATCATATGAAAAGAAGCCATTAATCCAAATTCTGGATCTGATCGTGAACGATTAAAACATTTAATAGCTTGATTGATATCACCGGAATACCTGTTAATGAGATGGAAATGAAGGGTTTAGCTTATTTTGAAATAGGAACATTTCTTTCCAGTTCAAGTTTCACTATTAACCTACCAACTAGCAAGACCTTTACAATAATTGAATCCACTTTCTGATGAAGCTCTTGGAGTCGATTCAGCCACCTTATTAATATAATTGTGAGCAATGTCCAGTTTACCAACTCTACGAGCAGCTTCAATAAGTCGAGCTAAAGCTGGATAATAATCTGATGAAAGGTAAAATGAATTGATTATTAAGTGATATTAAATTGATAAGCAGCTTTGACTTCGTGAACAATTACTTTTCAAGTTATCCATCAATTGTTGAAAATGTGACAAGGCTCCTTCAAAATCATTGCGTCTGAACATTAAATCAGCCGTCATCTTGAAATACAAAAAATTATTGTTAACAAAATGCAAAACTACTGACATGTAATAGATTTACCAATAAGGAATCTTTATCATTTGGTGCGTTTTTCAAGATTAAAGTTGAATATTTTCGAGCCTCCTCAAGATTATCATCAGCAACATATAAACGTTCCAAAGCAGTTAAGATCTATGAAGAATGAAATTAATAAAACAAATATATCAGTCAACCACGAAATAAACTTATTTGTTACTAACCGTGACATTATCTGAGTGATAACCGAGAGCTTCTTTGTAAATTTGTACAGCCCTTTTTGAGTCTCGAAGATGAGTCATTATTAAACCAGCCAATTGTAAACTAATCCTAATACCGAAAAAGATCATAAATTTAACAACTGGTGAAGGAATATTTGATGAAATATATACTCAATGGACGCTTTCTTGATTTCGATCTCTGAATCCGGCCTTTCAGCTGATATGCGCCTTAAAACTCTGTAATAGGAATGAGAAAGAAACACAAATTTAACAAATAAAATAATTTATAATCGAGTAAAAACTCACTTTAAATACATGTTGTGAGATTTTTGTAAAGTTTCAATTCCAACATCTTTTTTTGACGTTTGCAGTTGAATTTGAGCCAAGAGATTCAACATTTTAGCTTCCCATTCAAGATTCGTCAAATCTTGATCTATAAACCAACCAGCAAAAATTCAAATAATTAAATTAAATACAATAAGATCAATATTGTTGAATCAAGTGTTTAAAATTTTTGAGCATTTACTTGAACCAGATTCATTGTTTGATGCTTCCAATGCAGACATTATCAAGTCTAATGCTTCAGGGTAACGTTTCATTTTGTACAATAATGTCGCCAAATCAAATCTAAGATCATTTTCAGGACTCGATTTCAAAGCTGCTTTATAATACGTGATTGCCTTGTGGATAGAATAAAAGAAAAAAAATTAATATCTAAATAAACAAATGCCGCAAATCGTACCTTTTCAAATAAATGTGTTTTGATCAAAGCCTGGCCAACTCGTCTCGTAAGCAATCCATTTTTGGGATTCTTTTTTAATGCTTGTTCATAAATTTCCACAGCTTTCTCTGGCTAAAGTCAAATAAACGATAACATCGTTAAAAACGTATTAAACAAATTATTTTCTTTATTTACCTCAAGAATGTTCATGTAAGCGTCTCCTAACATTAAATATGATTGTGGATCGTTATACTTGTCAAGAATGTCTTTATAACAGCTTATGTATAAACGACGATCACGACGATGTTTGAGATAAAGTGAAGCCATTATTTCTCGCGACCTAATGAAATCTCGTCCATAAATTGGAGAAACTTCTCTTAAAATGGATAAAGCTTCCTCAACATTGCCTCGACTTTGTGCTAAAGATGCTTTGATTATTAGTATTTTACTTTCCTCTGGAGTTCCGATACAATTTTTTGATAATTTGTCCAACAAGTCCGATGCGATTCCCTACAAATGGGATACAATTCATTAATATCTATTCATTTTGTGACAATCAAACATGCATTTTCTACGCACATTTTCGCTTTGCAGAATATAAATATTGACCATTTCCAATTCAATCGTGACTTTTGAATTCCAATCAAGACCCAATTTTGATGTTTTAGCAAGACTGCTGTCGATCAAGTTATGCAAAATTTTCAAGCATTCATCATATTCCTTTTGATGTTTCAAAATGCTTATTTTAACCATTATATAATCCAGTTTATCTCGAATCTAAGAGATCAATAAAATGAAATTATTGTAAAAGTTCTTATTTTGACGGAAAGGGGTATATGACAGTAATTTGGCCGATCTCAAATTTTTTCAAATATTGATTTTCTGATAGAGCATGAAATATAACTAGGTTTAACCTTATAGTGGCCTCTGTGAGGTTTACCGTTCGGCCACAATAGCCGTCCAAAGTTGAAAATTCATGAATTTTTTTCAATGATATCTCTTTGTCGGATTGTGATAGATGGTTCTAACTTAGTATTATAAATCCTCTAATATACATATATGTCCTGAGAAATAATAAACTGTTCAAATCATTTCCTTCTCGAGTTATTCAGCCAGATCACTTTTCACTCCCATTTTCTTTTTCATCGATAACTTGGTTCAAGTACCCATGAGAATTTTTTCCAATAGTGCAAAATGTTGCTCAAGACTGCAGCTATGCCCTGAGACATGATCTGTGATCTGTGATCTGAAAAGTGATCTGGCTTAATAGCTCGAGAAGGAAATGATTTGAACAGTTTATTATTTCTCAGGACATATATGTATATTAGAGGATTAATAATACTAAGTTAGAACCATCTATCACAATCCGTCAAAGAGATATCATTGAAAAAAATTCATGAATTTTCAACTTTGGACGGCTATTGTGGCCGAACGGTAAACCTCACAGAGGCCACTATGAGGTTAAACCTAGTTATATTTCATGCTCCATCAAAAAATCAATATTTGAAAAAATTTGAGATCGGAAAAATTACTGTCATATACCCCTTTTTGTTCGAGTGTTTTGATCAACCTCAAAATTGTGACCCATCGCAATGTCCAATGTTTGACTAGCTTTTTGGTAATTTCCTTGATAAGCCAATATTTTAGCTTTAAGCAAATGGCCATCAATGAATGTAGGCTCATGATCAACTGCTTTATCCAGATAACATAGAGCAGCTCTTAAATCACCAGTAAAATAATTAACACGAGCCATATTATACAAGGATCCAGTTAGACCTGGACAATTAGAGATTAATACACCAAGTAAATCCTTGGCTTTGGACAAATTTGCTGGTAAAGATTGACCCTTGACTCCTGGTTCGAACGGCAGATCACCAAAACAAAGTTGGACAACATTCAAGCAAAACTGTGGATCCAATCGGAGGTAATATTTCAATCCTAATGAAAAAGACTAAAAGCAAAAATATGTAATTAAATTCAAGAAAATCTTTTAAGCAATAAACTCATGGATAATCAACTCACTTTGAGACTATACAACCGATCGTCAATAATTTGGATCAAGTATTGGTTAGTTTGATCATGATTTCGTCCCATCTTTCGATTCCAAAGGCAACACAAATACATCAAATCCTAGCAGAAAAAAGACTTGAATAATTAAATCATGTTAATTTGCTTGATATCTAATTCAATCAGAATTGAACTGACAACTTGTGAGAGTTACCAAACTTATCATGTAACAAATTATTGACTAACAATATTACAATGTGTATGTTGTATAATAATTTTTGTTTTTGTATTGTTTTGTAAGTGTAACGAATTAAATGCTAGAGCTGAAGCAAATCACACAAATATTTCAACAGGTTTGTATTTCCCTTATTGTGTTCAGCATATTGATAACTAGTGATGGAAACAGCAAAAAATAAAACCAAGAAAAATTATTTTCCTAGAAATTCAGACTCATCAGTTGGTATCATGTAATGCAATAGCAATGAATCAACAGTCAGTGAACAAAAATACTGAAAATCAACCAAGGCTACTGAATTTTTAAATTTCTATCAAGAGCTAAGATTTATTGATAAATTGATTGTTTCGACGACTTTGAGTTCTACAAAAAGAACTTTCAGGTAACTTACATGATTCATTCCCGTCGACTTATGAAGTTCTTCCATCGCCTCAACCTGATCAGCAGCTTTAACTGGATCCTCAATAATAGCACAATGAAGTACTCCTAGTGCTGCAGCTAAATTTGCCTCATCAGCTCTAGTAACAGTCGTAAAATGTCGCTTAGCATCCACCAATCTATTTATGATTAGACATTGATGGCCCAACTCTAGAACATATTCAATACGATTTGGTTCCAAAAAAGTAGCCTTTTCAACCATTGAATAAGTTTGCTCAATAATCCGTTTTTTGTTGAAAGCCTAGGAAAATCAAAGAATCAGTTGTCGGAAAATAGGTGATTATGTTTGAATGTGATCGCTAAAAATGGCCAAAACTCTATTATTCACAGAATTGAAATTTGTGCCATTTTTGTTGATGCCAACTCATTTATAAGAGGGAAATATTACCAATCTTGAAATTAATTTTCCAGTCTCATAGAGCAATGTACCATTTTTGGGTTCTCTTATTTCTAATGATGATATTAAATCATCAAACCTTGATGAAGCTGAAGCTTCATTGCCTTCCCAAACTAAATCATAAATGATTAGATATCGATGTGCTTCAATACAGTGTCTATCAAGGGTCAATATTCGTCCTGCCGTATCAATAGCTTGTTCCCAATCTTTAAGAGCAACTTGTAATTTCATCTTTTCAATAAAAGCTGGGATAAAGGATGGCTGTAAAACAATCATTTGGTTTAATTGTTCAATTGCTCTCCAATAGGAACCACTTCGTTCAAGACATTTTGATTTACCAAGAATAGCTTCTGGATCATTACTGGAAAGCCAAGAAAAAGCAATTAAAATGACGGTCAATAGACATTCAACAAGATTGGAGTCTCATTACGAAAACATACAGTTTAACTCCTTTATCGAAAAACTGAGCTGCCTGAGAAGTTGATTTATCACCACCTGAAAGTAGTTCAAGCCAACCAAGAACATTTGAAGCTTCTCGTAAATTGTTATTCAATTTCAACATTCGATCCAGATATTCACGAGATTTATCAAATCTACCGACAAAAAGAAGGTAAAGTCCAGCAAAGTAAAGCGCCACTTCTTTTGCTTGTTTGCGTTGATCGCGCAATTTCCCTTCAAGTTTACTGATTTCCTCTCGATCTAAAGAACCCAAAAGAATCAATTTATTAACACAATTTGTCAATATTAGATTGGCTAATGGCTTTTGTTGGCAAACAAAACAATTACCCAGTGATTTACAAGCTTTATGTGCATGGATAAGAGCTAGTAAAGATGCCAACACCAAATTTTGATCTTCTTGAATATTATCGAGCTCTCTGATTGCTTCCTGGTAACGAGCTGTAATCAAGATAAAAGATAGCAATAGTTAAAATAACTAGAAATTAATTGGAATTGAAATTTGCGAACAAAAAATCAATTTCTAGCGAAATAGTTGAGCAATTTAAAACAACCAGCTTAAAATAAAGTTGAAAATCAATCATAGAAACATTGAGAATGGCGCATAAACCAGCTAATAAAGCAAATACGGGTATTCAGAATATCATCCATATTCAAATCATTTTGGCTAAATTGCTTTTTCTGATTAAAATACAAGTTCAATCAATAAAGGGTAAATAATTCACCTTCCAAAAGCAATGAGATTCCATAATAAAGTCTAAATTTATGGTCAGACGGAAATACTCGAATCCCTTCTAAAGCAGTGTTGGCCATCATTCGGTTAAATCCATGAAGACAATAATAATGAATGGTACTCTATAATCATATAATGATATAAGGCAAAGAAAAAATTAATGACAAAACCAGATGAATAAGATAATTTATGGAACAAAAATACCGAGAAAAATGATGAAAGTAAATGGTCATCAAATTTAAAGTTGATAAAAGTGTCTATTTTATAGATTACTCACCCGAATCAGGACTTCTTTATCGGATAACATTGTAATGACAATTAGAATCAATTTTAATCATAAATAACGAACAATGAATTCCAAGTTATTTGTTTTGTTGACATCAACTTTTGGCAAAACCATGGTTACCGTTTGTCAGATTGTAAATGTTTTAACAATTTATATTCAGTCAGCTGTTGCTCAATTTTGAATTTTACTCAAACCAATTTGATTGAGTCTGTAAATTGACTTTAAATGACCTTTTATGCTAAAGTTGGCAGTTGCTTTTCAAGGTTTATCTGAGTGTATTTTAATCAATTTTATGCGGCAAATTTTCATTGCTTCAATTTAACAAGGAAATAGCCACAGAACGGAAAGATTATTAAATTGGTCATTATTGGTAATGAAATTAAAATTAAATATCAACTGTTTTGTACCATTTCTGATTGTATATCTTGATTGATATAATGATTAACCATAATTGGCGATAATTGGAAACGATTAAGGTTAGATAATTGATTAGGGAAAATCAATTCAGTGATAATTAATATGTAGATGCATTAACACGGTTATTAGAAAGATAATAATTTCAACGTATTTGACTAAAACAAGTTTTTTTTCAACTGATTCAAAAGATTTACAATTAATCTTTGAAGCAAATAGAACGAAATTATGATTAAACGGAAAAGCATTTGATTAAATTATTTAAAAGTTGAGCCAGTTAGTTTCTTTTTATAATCAAAATTGCTGACATTTAATCATGATAGATAATTGATACAAGTTACTTCTTTCCAGAAACAGTTTCGTGATGTGTAGATGTACATTAAATTAAAAACTCATAGAAAAGGTCTACACATGGAAAGAGATTAAGATGATTTAGTTAACTTGATAATTTGTTTAAGAAAACAAAGACTTTTATTAATCATAATTGTTCTTAATTTTGTAATTAACCATAATTGTTACCTGAACCTGATGTTCACTTTTGACTCTTCAATTGATTTGAAAGCCAATCGAGGCCTTCGTAAAGACCGTCACCGCTTGTCGCACAAGTTGCTTGAATGTACCAGTTACGACTACGAAGGGAATGTAGGCCAAGTTTATCGGTGATCTCAGCAGCATTCATTGCATTCGGAAGGTCCTAAGGTATCAAAGGGATGGATGGATGACAGAGAGAAAGAGAGGGAGAAAAGAGAGGCAGAGATGAGAAATTAGTTAGCGATAAAAGAGGTAAAGATAAGAAATGACAAAAAGAATGTTGTGCCAAAGTCAAGGTACAACTAACTACCGGAGCAGCCTCTTTTTAACCGAGAACAATGCCTACCGGTAATCAATCATTTCTCTCAACCGTTACATACCTGTTTGTTGGCGAATATAAGGAGTACAGCATCCCTGAGCTCATCTTCAGCCAGCATACGGTTCAATTCTTCCCGAGCTTCGCCAATTCTTTCTCTGTCATTGGAGTCAACCACGAATATAAGGCCTTGTGTGTTTTGGAAATAATGCCTCCAAAGTGGTCTAATCTTGTCTTGTCCACCTACATCCCAAACAGTGAAGCTTATGTTTTTATATTCAACCGTCTCAACGTTGAATCCTGTAGAGTAAAAAGAGAAGAGAAAGAGAAAAAAGAGAGTGTGAATTGTAAAGAAGAATAGAGAAAAGAGAGAAGAGATAGAAAGAGAGAGAAAGAGAGAGGTGTCATGAAGAAAGGTGTCATGGGTGTGTTAACTCTCAAGCGAACAAATGGAAAAATTTCGTACAATATGCTCAAAAATTGAAAGAATAATCTTGAAAAGGGTTAAGGAATGTAAAAATTTTGTCACCATCAAAAAAGAGACTTACCTATGGTAGGAATGGTAGTGACGATTTCACCAAGTTTAAGCTTGTAAAGGATGGTAGTTTTACCAGCGGCATCTAAACCAACCATCAATATTCTCATCTCTTTTTTACCGAAGAGTCCTTTAAATAGATTGGCAAACACATTACCCATCTTGGTTAGTTGATATTCTATTCAATTTGAAGGTAAAGATAAACAAGAATCAATCTGACAATTAAATAAAAATTCAAGCTAAGATAAAAAAAATTGATGATGAGGAAAAAAGATGGATAGAGAAAGAAAGAGAAGGGAGCAAGAGAAGGTTAGGTTATAAGACGACTATAAAGCTTTAGTGAATTGAACAGCTCATCAACTCAACAACTAGAGGTGCGTTGGTTATGCTTAGTTTTGGTAAGAATAACCAGTATTCGCGGTTACTTTGAATTTAGGAAACAAGGATTCAAACACTTTAATGTCAAACATTCAAATCTTTATTTATAAATACAACCATCGTTAACACTATCAAAAGACTTGACCAATTCTAATAGCTCACTATGTGTCAATCGGAAAAAATTGAGAGAAAAATCAATAAAATTTAAGCAATTAATAATCGGTCAATTTAAACAATTATCAAATGGTTCTTGTTACAACCAAGATGTGACGCTAGCAGTTCATAGTTTTCATAGTTACTGTAACCAGTAACCAAGGTTACCTTCCCCCGGTTAATTGCTGGTTTCATTTTCAAACAGTTTTCATTTTGATTATTTAATTCTTAACCAATTTATTAAATTACATTTTCTTATCACTCTGAATTTTGTGCTAACTAAACTGCCTCAGATTCACCAAGATAACAATCATTAAATGACCAAATTAAAGGTAAACTTCAAGGTATGTTGTAACGTATTTCAAACTTGGATGTTAACTTGTCAAAAGGTTTAATTGATTCACCCATAGATGGAGATATAACTTCTGTTAAACGTTGATTATTAAGGAGTGATAAATCACTTTAAATTATCATGCTCAATCCTCAGCTTTAATCTACCAATTTGCTGCATTTCTGTCTCCCAACTCAGCATTTATCCATCTTCACATGCTCGAACCTGTTAAACTTGAACCAGATTGGATGAATGAAAATCAAACGATGGTATTGATGGTTAAATTACCAGTGAAAAATTTCACACAACGTTTCAGTGTTTGTCATTTTACTTTTTATTATTATCATTATTGTTATTAATTAATCTCAATGAGAAACTGGATTTTAAAATCAAGCTCTGGGTAACAAGTGAAAATGAAAGGAAATGAAACAAGTTCAAGAGGAATTTATATTATATATATATAAATGAACAGTTGGTATAAAAATTTCCTCTTATATATTGCAATTATATATTGTCAGTACAATTGAAATAACAAAAAAAACGTGTATAGCTGCGGAAACTAGAAATCCATTCAAGTTTTCTTGCAAACAAATGAGTCGTCTGTCATATTGGTGTCCAATGTTTCCAGTTTTTATATTGCTTGATTGATCAAATTGCCACCATCCAATTGATAATCATGATCACTTGCAAGAACAATGTTTTTCATATAAGAATATAATTGTTATGAATAACATTAAAACAAAGAAGAGTGAAAGAGTCTTGCAAATGAGCTCCGATTAAAAAGTATAATTGCGCTTAAGGTAAAATCCTCGCCATTCTTATCCAAGAGTCCAATTTTTACAATTACAATTATCAAGGATAATGAATTTGAAATAATAATATTATTAATAATAATAATGATAATAATAATATTTATACATTTTATAAATCTTTATAAATCGGTTTCCCTTTCGTTCACAGAAATAATCTCAAAGCAAAAATGTTGATTTTCCGGAGACATACAATTAGCCTCTACAAAGTGTCATGGTGAGGTATATATTCATTGGATTTTGGGATAATTTGCTTCCATTGGATTCAACATTGTGAATTTACGATGATGATGACGACAAAAAAACATGGTTAAAAGGATAAGGAAAGGATAACAATTAATATTGATGATTTGGTTGGGAAAATTGGGAATCGTAGGAGAGAAGAAAAAAAATGTCAAGAAATAAAATTGAAATGTTTGTCATGATTGCTGGTAATGTTTGTTGGATTGATTGAAATGGGATTATGTTTTGTTTTAATTAATTAATGGTTGTTCATGATGAGCAAGATGAGAAGCCATGTTTAGATGAATCAAAGTCTCCATTTCATTCCTTGGCTAATCAATTTACTTTGCCAATCCAGTCCATTGGTCACAATGATTTGATGATACAAAAGGCAATTTCGATGATCATTTAGTTGCTCATTTTTTGTCTCAATGATGTCGATGGTTTGCTGGTGAATTGATGAAAGTGTTTTTAATATGCTTTGTTTGGTCAATTAATTTGCAAAAATAATGAACAGGAATGTTTAAAGTTGCAAATCAATCAACTTTGGACAACAACTGGCACAGTCAATGGTGAGGAACTCGTCATCCAAATACGACAAATTAATATATATTTAATATAAAACTTTATAATATATTTGTATTTATATATTTATATATTTATATCTATTAGTTGATAAACTTTAAAAATGTGGTTCCAAAATCACCTTGATTGTCATGTTTTTTACTTGTAGCAATGCTTTCTATTTGTTTTAATATAAATGAAATTGAAATGAAAAACTGGTGAAGGATGAAGATGATGAATGTAAATCAAAATTTGTCTTTGATTTGAAATAAAAATTGACCCAAATTAAAGAAGAGGAAAAAAAATGTTGAGCTTGGACATTGTTTTGTGCTCGGAATATTTGTATTTAAATTTGGTTTTTGGCACTAACTGTCCATAGCCATTACTTTCAACAGGCCCAGCATTTTGGTTCAATTTATGGTCAACATGGATAAATTTAACTCGTCTGGACATGTTTATGGCAAAAAAAGGTTGTAATCGCAATTGAACCCTAAGGCACCAATTTGTCCATTACATTGTTTAAGTTTTATTTAGATATTTTTTGCTCCCTTTTAATATTTTTCTGGTTAAATTGTTTAGGTTTTAAGAAATAATTTGTCGAGTTTCAGCCAAAGCGGCAATCAATTCTGATCCATTATCACATAAAGATGAGCTGCCGGTGATTGGACGGTTAAAATCAGTTAACTTTTGAATCAACTGTGAACTAAAATTGTGATCAGCCGATGACCCGCTTGGATTGACCTCTGAACCATGTTGTTGTTGCTGGTGTTGCTGTTGATGGGGATGCATGTGAGGTGGGTGTATATTGTGATGATGGTTAATTGCCTTAATGATGGTTTGGTGTTGCTGTTGGTGATGTGAGGTTGGAATTATTATTTGACGTTGATTATAATCATCTTGATGTCTATTGACTCCACCATTGTTACCCTGTCCACCATTAACATTGGAAGTCAAACATGAGCCTGAACCATTTTCAAATTCAGCCTCTCCATTGACCCTTAAATAATTTTCATTATAGCCAGTTGACTCGCTAGGATCACGATATATTGAATCAATGGATGGTTTAAGCTCGGATTTATAAGTGTAAATACAATTTTGCTGTTGTTGCTGTTGGTGGTGTTGTTGGTGATCGTGGTGGTGGTGATGCTCATAGGACCACTGATTATCTCCTTGAATCATATCCATCTGATAATCATACCTTGCATCCTTTTGGGTTGATCCGGTTGAATAAATTGAATCAAAATGTTGCTCATCACCGCCAGTGGATGAAGAATTGATTACAGATGAATCGCCATGGTTGACAATCACTCGATTCTTGTAGGGTGGGCAAACGGGATTAACGTTTCTTAAAAACGATGAATCATCACTGAAACGTGACATCAATTGACTAACAGGATTCTCATTTGATTGATTAGTGTAACCATCATTTGTTGTTGTTGGTGTTGAAGATGTTGTTGTGACCAAACCGGGTGAATTTAAACCGGGTTCCTGTTTAATTTGAGTTATTGGCTGAGGTGAGTGTTGATTATTATTGGACTGTTCATTATTGCTTGATGATGAACCTGAGTTTGACGATGAGTGCTGTTGTTGCTGTTGTTGTTGTTGTTGATCTTGAAGTGAATTGGACATTTGGTAAACTGATTGATCAACAGGTAATTTCAGTCCATTTTGCATTAAACGATAGAGATGACCAGTTGCGGGTTGCTGATGCGAACTACGATTCCTTGTTACTTGACCCTGGATTACACTCTGTTGATAGTAGGCTGGATTCATGGATGAATGATTACCACTGATAACATCCATATTATCATTATTTTCAACTGGTGACATTTCCGGTGTTGGCAATGAACCGACTGGATCATTAACGCCGCCACCTCCATTGCTGCTTCCCGAGTTTTCTAGATCAGACAGAGGACTTTCTTTTGAGAGCGATGAACCGTCAACGGAAAGATAGGTTTGGCCTGGTTGACCAAGGTTTGTTTGTTGGGATGAATGACTATGTTGACCTGGGCCGTGATTAATTAACAAAGGTCCACCATTACTGTTAAGGGTTACAACACTGTTGCCCAGTGAGTTTCCAGTCGTGGTTATTGTATTGATACCATCACCCAGACCTGACCCATTGCCACAGGTTGAACTGACAACCACCATGTTCACCATGTTACCAGAACGATATTGGTCCATCAAAGAACTGCCCGATCGTATCATTGATTCACTTAGTGGGCCTGAACTGAAGGGGCTTCCATGAGGCGATGAATCTGGTGTTTGAACTCCACAATAGTCCAAGGGTGGTGACAAGGAGGAATGGTCCATTGTGTCGAGGGTCGATTGGTGTGGACGATGAGTGAGATGGGAAAGGTGGTGATGGTGTTGCTGGGGTTGATGATGGTGATGGGAGTGTGGGTTTTGCTGGTGGTGATGGTGAACTTGTCCGTGGTGGTGAGAGGAACCAGGTTGATGGTGATGGGATGAAGAGAGGTGAGAAAGGTGTCCATGGGTAGTGACATGATGGTCACCAGTTAGACCAGCAAGTGAACCAGAAGGACTGTACAACCTCATCACTCCACCCGGAGTGTTGTCATTGGACATTGGCATACAGTTTCCTGTTGAAGACGGAGATCGACCTCCGCTTACCAAAGGATTACTACTACTATTGCTACTGTGAGGACTGTTATTACCTCCAGTGACACTGTTATTTCCGCCACCATTTCCAGTGCCATTAAGGCCACCTGAGGAGCCACCTCGGGCATTACGTTTACCGTTCTTCCTGCGTCGCGGTCTGTACTTATAATTAGGATAATCTTGCATATGTTGAACCCTTAATCTTTCAGCTTCCTCAACAAATGGACGTCTCTCCTGTAATGTCAACGCTCTCCATCTTTTACCTATGAATATGAGGAAGATGAAGATAATGTTGATGATGGTCAAGAGTAATTTGGCAACAGCAGGGAATGGGAAAAAAAGAGTGGAAGAAGAAGAGAAAGAGAGAAGAAAAAAAGAATCATTATTAGTTGAAGGAAAATTCAAGTAAATTGAGGCCGAGAATAAAAGCCTGAACGGATTAAACCCGCAGATAAACCTGTCTAAAATTGTGTTCATCATTGAATGCAAACAAGTTGAAAGATAAATCGTTTTTTTAACCAAAAAAAGGGCAACACAACGAGTAAAGACTCTACTCTAAACTCCTCCATTTTTGGACTTTTCATGAACTTTTCTTTTCTTTTCCTTTTTTTATTATTTATTAGATTCATTTGTATGAGATGGATGAATGGCTACTGATTTAAAAATTATTGGACTGTTAATGTTTATATGTAAACGGCTATTTACAGGCCATGTTGGTGGTCATATCAAATGAGTCTTGTTTGGCAGCCAGGAGTGAGTTAAAGAGTTGCTTTTGTTATTTAAAGCAAAAGATAAATGATCAACATTCAATTGGTACCGTTAAGTATTACTTGTTAAACTGGTCTCTTAACCTCTTCGCATTACATTTCAATTGGTTTATTCAAATTCAAAGTGCTTTGTAATATCATTTTAAATTCATTTTAATCAACATTGGCAATCAAAGTGCAAGTTAAAACAGAAAAAATAAGTTAATCACTGAAATGGCCAACACAATTAGTTAGCAATTTTGTTATGTAAATCGCATAAACGCATAAAGTTGAAAGGGAAAAATAAACATTAAAAATTGGTGAAAAAAAACAATTTCCATATTTTTCTTCATTCATTTACTCTTTTCTGGTTACAACCAAACCAGGTTTACCAGCAATTAAAAGTGATTAAATTGAAATGAAAAGCAAAAAAATAATTTCAATTTCCAATCAAAAGCAAATAAACCTTGATTTGTTCAATAAACAGGTAAACATTGACGATGTCCCTTTCAATTTTACCTCATTAATTTTTACCTTTAACTGTACAATTGCAGTGATAAAAAGAAGTAAAAATTTTCAATTGTTTTCAATCGAAATTTTCATCAACGGAAATTAACAATTTCTACCTTTTCCCATGTTTTCATGATGTGAAGAACAAGAAAAAAGCAAAACAAAATAACAGCAAAAAGTATTATCAATGAATTTTAATAAACCAACGAAGGTCAAGTTGAGGTAAAGAAATAAAAAAAACTTATTAATCTTATCAAAAAAAAGGTAAACTTTTTTTTTCTCTTCATCATTCTGATTTTTGATTCAATAACGATATTCATGAATTAAGCATCGACACAAACATGAGATTTTGCTGAATAATCACAGAAAGAGATTGAGATTGAAGGGACTAGCGAAGTAAAGTAAAAGACGAATGGTTCAAAGTGATTAGAGTCTAGTTCGAGGGTGTCAAGAGTTGATCACTGGTGAACCATTGAAGGTAAGCAAGGTAAAGATAAAATTTCATGTAAATCGTTGAGCATCACCGTGAGTCTACTTCATGCTGACGCACAAATCAAGGTTATTATCGTATTGTCATGATAAACATTTTTTCACCAATTCAGCCCATTCTCACTCCCTTCTTGACTCACCCTCTATCAACCATCTGATTCCCGTCTGATGACATTGGCATAAACTTTTTTCTCTCTCTTCTCTCTTTCCTCTTGCAGTACATCACACATCATAATCAGATGAAATGCCAAGGTGAAATGTGGCAAAATATACCTTTGAATGAAACATTATTTTACTTTTGTTTATCTCATCATTTCTATTTTTTATCCTTCTTCTTCTGCATCTTCTTCTTAGTGGTTCACCTTTTATTTATTTATTTATTTCACCATTTCGTTGATTTCACCTATTTGTCCATTAATCCATTGGATCACTTCACTTGAATGATAAACAAACTGAGAGACAAACAAAAACTTATCATTTATCTGATATTCATTTCAATTCCTTTTGATTCACCTTTTCTCCTTTTCTCTCTTCTCGAACAACAATAAATTCCTTTTTTTTTCTCATTCGCATGTATTTATTGTTCCCGTTTCATAGCCTTTAAGCATTAGACCATTCCAAGAGGTTCAGTTAGGATAACATGGTAAAGTAACTATCTCATCTCAAGGATATTTCATTTTATCCCTTGTAAAGCACAGTAACACAACAGAGAAATTTGAAGAAAAGAAATTCTCTTTTTGTCATTCTTCAAGATGAATCAATTGAAAATGCACATTCACAGTTGTAAATATTGCATTTGCTTCACTGATAACCTCAGCTTTATTCAGCATCGGCAAACCTTCAAAAAATTACCATTTCCTTTGCTGAATAATCAAATGAAAACGAGAAAAAAACGAAAATGAAAAATACATTGAAAAATAGTTACAAAGTTGTAAATCAACAGCAAAATAATGTAAATATCACTGACAAAGTGACAGTAAATATCAATAAAAAAGCAGTAAATGAAGTTAATCAAATGACGATTAGAGTAAAAGTGATTAACATGGATTCCAGCATGAGAATCAATACGGAAATCAAATTAATCTGTAAATGGAAACTAAATTCAAGGCTAATCTTTTTGCTCATTTTGTTTGGTCAGACAAAAAAAAAGAGCTCATGAAATGCAAGAAGAGTAAGAAATGTTGAAAGTTAATACATTGGGAAGGAAAACTGCATCATCATCAAGTTAAATGTTATGAGGCTGAAATCGATTCCTGAATTACTAGGCAAACGATGAATGAGAAATGAAACAAAATGTGTAAAAATGAAAACAAGAAGAAAAAGGCAAAAAATTTGAAAATCCAAATTGATTTAGAAAAGAAGAGAAAAAAAAAGATTGAAAATTGATTCAGAAAAAGAAAGCCTGATGAACCGATTGACCAGCCCAGAAATACCTTTACACCATTCATTGAATCAGGCCTTTTGATGGTAGATCATTTTTATACCTTTTGACAGATTGACTTGTAATTTTCAAGTAACCTCTTCCTCTTCATCTTCATCTTTTTCATCTTTTCTCGTCTTTACTAAAATTACTAATTCACTATAATCTTTTACACACACTATAAGTGCCAACATCATCATCGGCATCTTAAAGGGTCTTCTTCATCTTCTCATCTCTTCTCATCTCATCTTCTTACCTTGAACCTGAGTGAGAAAAAAACACTTTATTAAATTAGTAGCAATTAAATTTGATGGAGAAGCGTATGACAAGATCATTTAATGGACTTGGATAAGCAACCAAATTAATTTGATATACCTGTAAGAGTTTAAATCTTTCAGATTCTTTTTCTTCTTCTTTTGAGGAATTTTTCCATGTCTTGACCAAGAAATGAATAAACTTCCATAGAATGTTGAATTTTAAACTGAAGCCACCCGTTCATCACAATAATAATAGTTGGAGTAATAATGACCATGATAATGGTCATCTTGTAACCTTTAAACTTAATGGTAACCTCATAATCACAACTTTTTCTGCTCTTTCCTGGTCATGCCAAAAGATATTAGTTACACTCTTCATGTTTTTCACTAGCAACAATCATTATCATCTAACTGCCCTTTCAAATTATTCCCAGTTCAATGAAAGATTTGATATTATTTTTGATTATCAGGTAAAAGAAAGATGTTTACAAATGCAAAGTTGAACAAAATTCATTTTGCAACTTTGATCTAAAATTATCATCTTTTCATCAGTTACTGTTATTATCATTAGCAATGTTTACCTTGAACAAAAAATGTAAATATTTTTCATTCTTTCATCAGTTCTTCCATTGAATATGAATAATAACTCAATTTCAATTGCATTCCCATTTTGTATATGATTAACTTTATCAACTTTCAACTCTATTTCACATTTGCTTAACATTGCATTACCTTTGACAATATTTTTTCACTTTTCATTCCAATCTTATTTCCTACTCTTTACCGACACATTCAAGAAAATTGGGAATCATGAAGATGATGAAAAAAATGTCTCTAAATGATGACTTCTCCTTCAATCTTGTTAGTTCTAATGGATTGTTGATTCACTTTTTGCCTGGAAACATTTCAACATATTCTTGACATGAAATCTGAAAATGAAATTTTCTCAACTTTGAGTTGCATATTTAAATAATTGATAATGATATTCAGTAAATAAGGTAATAATCAAAGAGACATTTTACATTCTCGAGTCAACTTGATGATAGTTTTTAATGAAAATGCCATTCATTCATCCATTAATCGTGTTGATTAGTAAATAGAAAAATGTGCAATAATGATTTGGAAAATTGATAGAACTGAACAATTTCTGCTTTGTTTTTGTTCTTTTCTCGCCAACACTTTTAGTCCAAATTGAAGTTTCAAGTTTTGTCTCTTGTTTTTGTTTCTGTAAATACTTTTGCAAAAATTGCGTTTCAAGTCTAATGAGCTTCTGATCAAATGAATGGTGAAAAAAATGATCAGTAATTAGCTTTTTACTCTACTAATTGCAAGGAAACTATAACTGAATGATCATGAAGATGAGCAGAGATGAAACAGAAACATTGACCATTAATGACAATCAGAGTATTGGCAGGAAAACAACGCCTTTAAGCTTTGTTTTTAGTCTCAACTTTTCACCATTTTCATGCTTTTTTCATCTTCTTGTCTTGATTATCCAACTTTTTTCCGTCTCATTTGGTATATTTACCTTTGAACGGATCCTTGATTAATGAAGAGAGAAGAGAAAGAAGGAAAAACTTGAGAAGACAAAAAAAGATGAAAAGACAGAGGAAGACAGGTCATCAAGATGTGATGATAAGAACGAGAAAAAGATTTGATGAAAAGGTAACATTTCTGTGTTCATTTTTTCTTCTCTCTCTTCTCTTTCTTTTCTGTCTGCAGACATTTCGTTTCGTGTTACGCTTAAAGCGTAAAAAGAAGGTAAAAAGTGGAAGAAGACGATGAAGATGATGAAGATTGTGAAGAGATGAGGATATCATCTATTATTTCAAGATGCTTTT